AGGATTCCGCTGTGAGTTGGCAGAGAGGCCTCTAACAACACGTGTTCAGGGCTAAGAGTTGCAATTTTAGTAAAGCGGAGGACTTTCGGCTTGTAAAGTGTTCGAGGCAACTGCATCTTAGGGTGAAAGGCTTGACTGGGTAATGAGGAGTACTGCAGGGCTAGTCCCTTCCCCGCATACTACCCGCCCAACCCCCAATAAACAACGTAAACCAATACCTTGACAGGGCTTACGGTCAGGGGCTTGGGCTTGTTCTTGATTTGGGTCGTGATGAATGGGGTCCCTTTGCTGATTCTTCATCCCTGGCCTTGCCAAGGAGGGGGTTGTCAATAACGCCAAGACACACTTCAAGTTCCGCTTCGATGGCATCCTTCCCATGAAGATCTCGCAGGACGTAATTTTGAAAGCTCCTCAGAACTTAGGACTTATGCATAGCTTGCTTGATGTCGGAACATATACCCTATCTAACCCCAATATATACCCTATATAACCCTAATATATACCCTATAGAACCCCAATATATACCCTATAGAAACCCAATATATACCCTATAGAACCCTAATATATACCCTATAGAACCCCAATATATACCCTATAGAACCCCAATATATACCCTATAAAACCCCACTATATACCCTATAGAACCCCAATATATACCCTATAGAACCCCAATATATACCCTATAGAACCCCAATATGTACCCTATAGAACCCCAATAGGTTTTGGAGTGGAAGGAGCCCTGGCCCGTGATGCTCCATGCGTTTCTTTCAACCCACCTACGTTCGTTGTCCTTCTATTGCGGCCATTGCTGGGGGATTCTCAGGTCTCAAAATGTGTCACAGGTTGCCGCTAGAGCTCGAGAATTTTTGTCAGCAACGCCCCTCATAGGTGGACCCCCCACTCTGTTCGTACCCGGTTTTGGTTTGAGGGCTTGGGGTGGTATAATTGGATTATGAGCACCCTAAATGACTCTAATAGAGTTGCCACTATCCATTATAGTCATTTACCGTGTAAACCCTAAACCTCAAAACCCCAAACCCTAAAACCCTAGTAGCCTAAAACCTAAACCCCAAACCCTGAAACCCTAAACTCCAAACCCTAAAGCCTTAAACCCCCAACACCACAGCCTAAACCTTAAAGCCTCAAACCCTAAACCCCAAACCCTAAACCTTAAACCCTAACAGAACGCAGCTAGCCCAGCCCTGACGTACTTGGAGGCGGCTCACTCTGCTCTGCCCTTCATGTGAGCTATAGTCTAAATTCCTTAAATTGGGTTATATAGCGGACTATATAGGATTTAAGGTTCCGGGTTTAGAGTTTAGGGTCTAAACTCCCTAAAGTAGGTTTGATAGGGGACTATATCGGGGAGTATTATAGTGGTTACTAAGGGGGATACATGGACTTAGCTCATGTTTTTAACGGGCTTGGATATGCGGGATGTACAGACACTGTAAATCCCACGCCCCCGAGGTCGGCCTCTCATGATTAGAGCTAGGGCGAGGGTATGTGTGATTGGGCGTTTTCTGATAGACGTAAGTAATACCTTTACATTGTACGAGAGAGAGAGAGAGAGAGAGAGAGAGAGCGGCAGGGCCTTAGGGTCTTGCATAGCCCATAGAAGAAGAAGAAGAAGAGAGAGAGAGAGAGAGAGAGGGGGTGGGCATTCCTGACTATTTTGTACATGCATTGAACTATTTCGTTTCTGTGTCAATGGTAATTCAGGGGAAGTCCTGTGAAGTCTCTATTGTTTGAGTGTGTGCTTGTGTGCGTGTCCACTGAAGTTTTGGACGTTCTGTAAACTGTAGGGCACTCCCCCCTAGGCAGGTTCTCTTGAATCTACCCACCCTTTTACCCTTTAACAGGGAATAATTTGGAGTCTGCTAGTTCCCCCCCTGATTGAAACATATCAAAGACTGCCTTCCACCTCTGGCTTGACACTCTGTAAGCCGCCGGCATGCATCAAAAAGTCTCCCCCTCCCCCGAAAAACAGGTGCAACATTAGTTTCTTTTGCAAGCAATTGAAGGAAGAGGTGTTCCAGCTTGTGGCCAAACCTGTGATCGAAGATGCTGCTGGGCCGTATGCATGTGCAGCATGCCGACTGGTATTTGCTGAAGAGGATTTCGGGCTTGCAGCTGATTTAGCGTCAATGGCTTAGGGTTGCTGCTCTTTGCGTTCGCCGGAAGACAGCTCTCCAGTTATTTCCGCCGATTGTTCACGTTTTATGGAGTGGTGGGAAATTTTGTGCGGAGCCAGGAAAATTTGCCTTCCATTCCTGGTGGAACCTGCCTTGAACTGTGACTTCAGATCGTATTAGATTTGCGTCCCCGTGAGTTATCATCCAGTCTGGAAGGCTGACGGTGAGGGCCCTCTTGTTCCTTTGCAACCTAGATTCCATGATCGTTCCCGACGCATGGATCCCTCCGCCAACCCAGTTTTGAGAAGAATCACAGTTCCAGACAATCAGATGAAAAGAAAAAAGCTGACCGGCCATCACAGATGCAAGCATGGATCAGGGTGTGTTTGCACTCAGGCGTGCTTGAACATTTGAACACAAGGATCTGCTTCGCATCGAATTGAAAAACTATGCATCACAGTCGGTACTCAAGCAAAGACTTGTCGAATTACGCTGCATGGCTGTCAACGTCGATGCAGGGCGCCACGAAGAAGGGCCTCAGAAAAAGGATTGTCTGGGGTACTTCCAAAATGTACGTTGTCCCTTATACCCCCACATGTGTAGTCACAGTGTAGTCCCTTCTAGTTGGAGGCCTGACTTGCGTTCAGGCAAAAGGTACTTTGGCTGAGGCCCATCTTGTTAGCATAAATTCGGTTACAGGATCGTAAGGGTGGCTCCTTCAAAGGGTCTCCCAGATTGAAAGGTCAAAATATTCCTCAAGAAGCCTCCACACTTGGGCTGGCTAGTCGATGGAGGTTCAGAATGAATTAGTGGGGCCAAAGCAGGGCAGCTATAGCTGACCGATACGAGGGCAGTCACAAAACCCACTGAGCATGAATCACACATGAGTAGTATTTTATTTGGGGTTACTATGGTACCCAATGTAGAGTAAGATTATATCCTCCTTTTGGGGTATAGTATTTTTATATAAGGAAATAATCTTACTAGGTTCAACCACCAAAAAAACACTACTCACATGAACCTCCAGGGAGATGCTTCCTCGGGCAGACAAGGTGAGGACAATTAGCGACAAAACATCGTGATGTCAGCTGTACAGCTCTTGGCTTTTTACAATGTCTACTGTTGGAAGAGTAAACGCCCAGGGTTGATCATTGGGCATGGGGTTCCTGGAACAAAAACGCCTCCAGAATATGCAAGCTCAGGTTCTGCAAGGCATCAATGGCACCATTTTTGCCTACGGCCAGAGCCATATTTGCATGACTTCTGGCGCAGGATTAGGATGATTTGGAGTATGAAGTGAAGGGATCCTTTTGCTTGGAAGCAGCTTCAAGTGTGTGAACATAGGCTGTGACTTGCGCTTCAGTTCCTGTTACAGTTTGAAGGGGGCCTCGCGAACTGCCACCCTTCCCCAATGGCCCTGGCGCGAGTGCTTGGACGGTATAGCCTTGGGCTTCGGAGGCAAGGGACCCAACCAGGCCTTACTGATTGCGCCGCTACTTTTTCTTGGGTGTTGGGTTCTTGGGTGGCAGCCGAGACTTGAAGAGCTAGCAAGAACGCTTCAGGCAGGGCATGCGTTGCTGCTCGTGCACCACCGAATATATTACCACCACCGCCGCCGCCACCGCCAACGCGACCGCCATCGCCACCGCCACCACCACCACCAC